TACTTCCTCTTTTATAGTGGGAGGCTCTCTGGAATTGGAGTGCCAATTCCCAGAAAGGCTGGGAACACTTTTTTAATAAAAAGAACTAGTATTCATGTAGCACTTGATATTCCTGAGCTCATCTTCCAAGCATTCTTTCCTTTAATTCTCCCAACTTTTGAAAAAGTCCTGTTTTCATTCCCATTTCATAGGGGAGGAAACTGACACTTAGAGAGGTCACAAAACCTTCCGAAGTCCCTGCAGCTAATAAGTGGCAATGCCGGAACACACACCCAGGCCTGTTAACTCTAAACCACTAGACTGTAGACTCTGCTTTAGGTACAGTGCCAGTTTCTGTTTTCCAAAGAATATTCAGAACACTCTTACAAACTTGGGTGTTACTTGAAACTTTACGCCCCCAAAAAAGTTTTCATATCTCATGTCTATCTTTCAAAAATATGGAGATCACCTCTATTTTTGCTTTGTCTCCTGTACCAACTCATTATACTTGGGCAGCCCTTTCCAAGTAGCACTTGACTCCTGCTTTTTCAATCTGTAAATTTAGAAATCCCCCTCTTCTAGGCACAGTAAAGAGGTTCCATCCATCTTTCTACTTCATTAATCCCAAAGACAGCTTGGATTAAGCTCTGTTTAGCAGTCAGGCTTACAAATGTTTGCTTTGGTCTGTTGACAAGATGAAGAGGGGAATCCTTTAGGCGCTGGCTGATGATTAGATGCGCCCTTCCAAGCCGAGGGAGGCTACGGCAGTAACTGGAATGAGAATAGAGCTGGCAGAAGGCTTGTCTTTCCTAGAGGTTGGGATGGTAAAGAAAAGAAGAGGGGAGATTGTACCATGTATAAGGTTCCTTTTGTAAAAGTTGCAAAAATGTCTGCTAGCGGCAAGAGGGAACTACTTGAGGACGTTGTTTATTAAAGAATACTTTCTCCAAGTTTGGAGGCATCTTGGAGGTTGGGCAGTTGGTCACTTTGCAGATGGAGCCATGAGGTTAGTGACTCAAGGCCTTACTCCATTTAATAGCAGACACGTGATGAAAATCCACTTGTCTTTCCTATCAGTCACTGTCCTCTCAAAGTAGCAGATTTATGCCCTTTTTTTAATTTCTAAGGGGCTAAACTTACAACCTTGGAGAGGTCTTGCATGTGCAAAGGCCATGTGTGTGTTCTAATAACTGGAAATGGATCCATCATGGGAACCAGGAGCTTCCATGCCATGCCCCAAGTCCAGGTGCTGATTCAAAACTATTTCTGGGTCTAGAATCACTTTCTATATGCTCAAGAACCTTTAGTTTATGAGATGCCCATGGACCTGAGCCCTGAGTGTCTCCCCTGCTTCCATTTCTTCCTGAAGTTGTTCTACTACTTGAGGGGACTCAGACAACCAGCCACAGAGTGAACAGCCCCCGCCTCGTGATTTCTCGCTAGTTTGTGGCTTCTTTCCTTCTTCCCTTTTAGAGCCCACCAGCCCATTCAGGGGGTGCCTAGAGGGCATCCTTTTGAGCTTCTTCCTGTGGGATGTTCCTGGGCACCCATGTCACTGGACACTTGGCCACCTCGCCTCGTGGTGTCCATGTTTGCCTCATTGCAGGTGACAGCCCACAGGCTCAGATCATACGAGCTCTGCGAGAACTCAGAGCCCTGCCTGAGAACAGTAGGTTTCCTTTAAAGAAAAAACGCAATGGGAACCCTTTTTCAATGCAGCATGACGCATGGAACAGGTTAATGCAGAGCTGCTCTGGCTTCAGGAGTGGGGCGTGGAGGCCACCCGAACCCGCAGAGTCTCCTTACCCCCATCCTCACCTTCATCCACAGCTGCCCCAGAAGCATACCTGCAAACCTAGGACTCAAGAAATGCAGTTCGAAAATACTGCCTAGATCTATGTTGCTCCTTTCTAAAGGTGAGCTTTGGAGCTCACGTCTTACACTGAGTTGCAGAGACAAGTTCTTTTCTTTGACCAATACCCCCTTGAGCAACAGTGAGGAGGTACTGTCAGTGATTTCTCTCATCCTAATTCTACAAGGGTGTGTGTGCGTGTGAGCTTGCATAGACATGCACACTTGTGCTAAATCTACCCTAGGTTGAGGGTTTACCTAGTCCAGGCACACTGCTAAGTGCTATACATGCTTTATGTCATTTAGTCTTTACATTGAATCAAGGAGGGCAGGTCACATATGTCCTGAATGGTTTAGATTTCTTCAAACCCAGATCCGTTTGACCTTCTACTTCGCTGTCCACTTACCACTAAAATGGAAATCTGCGTGGCCAGGCCAGGCTGGCTAAATGACCTTGCAGGGATTTAACTTAGAACCCAGGCACCATCTTCCCCCTCGAGTGACTCCCAGGCTAAAGGCATGAAACAGAGCCAGCCAACATTAGTAGTGCCAGACACGGAGAGGGGCTCTGCACCCATCCAGCCTGCCAAGACTTTCTTGCCTTACGTGAGTTTGGTTTAGGCTAATTATTATGAATCATCATAATTTAGGTAGCATTCATGAGCCCTAGAACTCAAGGCCAGTTCTTAACTAATCCCGTAACTAGAAACCCGATCATCTAAAGACCGTGTGCTTTACCTCTCTGAGTTTAATATCGTTGTGATTGTTGCCATTCTTAAACATAATTAATTCTTAGATTTGAAGTAATAAATCATCATTTCCTATGAAGAGGTTAGGTGAGGGTGAAAGGGAAAACAATGAATTTTTCACTTGAGCTAGAAATCCTTTAATCTTCTTGGACCCGAGTTCCCCAGGCCTGTTTTTGAAATCTAAAGTCTGACTTCCTTCCAGTATTGTTTTACATTCTTATTAATTCTTTCAATGATGAAACAGAGAGTACCTCATTAAATTTTCCTGTGTCTTCAAATGTGATGCGTGACTATTACTAAGAGATTCAAAAAGATTTGGCCATGTTGTCTTAGATGGACAGAGACTGGAGACAATTTAGTACTGATAAACCCAACGTAATTGACTTTTGGAGGTGGAAAACCTGAACCATTTCAGAAAGGGGAGCCTGCAAGAGTATTCAGCAGTGTATTGCATGAATATGACACCGTGTAGATTTAGTATATGTGAACCATGAGGTCATGGAGTCTCTCAGTAAGATCAAGCTTTCATTCGAGTTTGCTGTTGAATTTGGACACCTGCAACGGAAGCATGTTAAAATCCAGGAAAGAGCTAAAACATGATTCAAAGCTTGCAAAGTAGGGTCTGTAAAGGAACCACTTACAGGTACTAGATTTATCAAGAGGAGATACAACTTCATTAGAGCATCCAAGTTTATGACTGACAACATTTATTTGTTCGTTCAAACTAATATTTATTAACTGCTGTGGCAGCATAAAGATAGAATATTCCTACAGTGGTAAATATATCCTATATTTCGAGCTCAAATAGGGTGGGGGAAAGAAAGAACAAAGCCCAAGTCAGAGTCCAAATGTACTTAAAACACTGAGAGTTCTTGAATGTTAGGGTTACAAGAGCCTAGACGCACGGTAATTGGGGGAATATGGGGTTTCCTACTAAGAGACTTTAAATAAAAGAGTAGAATAGTATATTCATGGGAACAACTTGGAGATCACTGAGCTATCCGATCCAAAGACATAGAAGTGCTTTCAAGCCTTACAATTAATTCTAAGATGCCTTCTTTACCATCGGAAAAACAGAACCATTGACTCTGGGAATTCTGATTGGTTATTCTCAAATCCCCATATACTGAATTGTCCAGAAATTCAGCTATTTCATATGGAAATACAATTCCTACTCCCTCCCCACAAAAAAATCCTGCTGGGATTTTTATTGGGATTGCATTGATTCTAGTGCTTAATTCATAGAGAATGGACGTCTTTACCACATCAGTCTTCCCATCCATGACCACAGACGGTATCTCTCTCTCTTGATTGAGGTCTTTAATTTTTCTCAGCAGAGTGTGAAAATTTTCACAGTAGAGATCTTGCACATCTTTAATCAGATTAGTCTCTCTAGGTATTTGAGGTTGTTTGATGCAGTATCAGCGGCATGGTGTGAGCCCCTTGAACACACACTCAACAACACTTGTCCATTTCTAATATTTCTGCTCACTGTGGGCATGGAAAGAAAAGTAATAATCAGCTTTTCCTTTTCCAGAGAGTCAAGGCACCTTTTCTAACCCATCAAGGTAGAAAAACTATAATGGCTTCTCTGCAGGAAACTTATTTCAGAATCCAAACATTATAGCCCAGAAATTATTCTTTTGGTCTAACCTAAACTCCTCCAATTGGCATTTCAACTTATTTTCCTTTTGTTTGGTTCATAGTTTGCCTTATACAGAGGTTTTCTATCTAGCACTCTGCTGTTTGAATCATCATGCAGATATTTTATCCAGGAAAGCATGTAAAAATATGGATAACTTTTATTAGGAGGGAATTTGTGATACAATATGAAGTTAAAAAATAAAATAAAATTCTAATTTTCTTTTTTAAATATATGTGCTTTTTAAATATATGTGACCTTAATAAAGATCAAAAGAAAACGCACAGCAGTGGTTATTTCTAGGTGACTAGTTTATGGACTATTTTTATAACTGTCTACATTTTCAAAGTTTTTATGACAAACATACATTATCTTTGCACTAAGCAAAAAGCATTTTTAAATGGACAAAGGAAAATTAAAAATGCATATTAAAATTACTAGCATGAACTTTATTTTCCCCCATGTTGTTTATAAAGTCTGTTAAAATTTCCCAGTGAAATGAAAACAGGTATGTGACTTATCTTAAGATAATCAAGAAAGATAAACTTTATTTTCAGGAGTGTCCATTTTCCTGCCAGTCCTTCCGACTAGCTGTAAATTCCTTGCAGTTCTGGAATTTGCTCTTCACACTTAGAACTCTGAGCACCTGTTTTATTTCACACTCCCTTGACTCCTGAGGTAAATCCCATAGCCACAGCATGGGCTCAGGTTGAATTCATTAGTGGTCCAGATGTGTGTCCCCTGTCGGCTGGCCTGGTAACCCCACTGTTTATTGACAGGTTCTCAGGAATCAGACAGCTCCCAGTCGGCCAAGAAAGACATGCTGGCTGCCTTGAGATCCAGGCAGGAAGCTCTGGAGGAAACGCTACGTCAGAGGCTGGAGGAGCTAAAGAAACTCTGTCTCCGGGAAGCGGTAAGTGGTTCATTCCTCGTCCTGTGGGAATCTGGGTTGTCTGAGACATCACTGACCATAAAGTATTGACAAAGGGCAAAAGGTAGGGATGATAAAGAGAGCCGACCTGGGAGGTGAGAGCTCTCCTGAAACACAGGTGTTGGAAACATCCACACCTCTGTAACATGTCTTATCCAAATTAGTGGACATTGATGAAACACCATGACAGCCAGTTAAAGCTGCTGCTGGCCAAATCCTAAAATAGGACCCCTTTAGAGGCCAAGTGACAAATCTTAATAACAGTCCCTTGTACTTATATGGCGCACCATAGTTTATAAAGCATTTCTGCACGTGCTGGTACCTCATTGAATGTGACGGCTGGCTACCACCCTCCCAAGATTGTGTGCCTGAGTTTATCGTTTGTTGTTGTAGCTTTTGTTTCTCTTGAGGATGTTTCAAATTTGTCTTTGGACACCGT